TTAGACGGATGAACAGTTTCCTGGAGTTTAAAAACTTCCCTAACTCGGGCCAGCTTTTACACAGGTGGAATGATTGCAACACTTGCTAAGCAAATTTACGGACTACGCTGAGATCAGCCGAGAACAAGTCACAAATAATGCATATTTTCTTAAGCAAGTATCTTCTGTGCAAGGCTGATTTCTACACTTGGCAGCTTCTGGTTGTTTTCAGTATTGTGGATGAGACCACTCACCCACATCAACGTAAGACCCCCACAAGGTGATCATAAGACTGTCACAAGACAATCACAAGCCTTCCAGTCTGAATTCTCGTCCCAAGCTTTTTACATGAACTACAACAAAAGCATTTGTTTGTCATCGTTCACCCTCCCCAATTGTAACTGCTCCTGTGACTGGTGTTGTAAACAGGTCTTGTGATCGTCTTGACTACAACACATTTGGGGGGGGGGGACTTCGAGTCTTCCTTCAGCATGTAGGGTTGCCAAAGCTTGGGTGCACAGTGGAGGATTTTGGAGGATGCAAGAAGGTTAACCAGGTAACCAGGACAATTTCCCAGGGGGTGGGGTTCACACTCACCTGGTGCCCCGTGACACCAGTGCACCAACTCATGCTCGGCCGGTCTGGTCCTGGCCCCGCATTCGTCCAGGGCCGGTGGGATGTTCCCCCCATGACTGGCCTGGCACTTCACCAAGAAGTCAACAGAATCACGGATGTCCTTTTCAGCGGAGGGATCTGACTTCACGAAGTCGGGAAAGCCAAGCAGAACCTGCAGTATCCCTGACAGACCATGCGCAGCCCCTTAAAAAAGATTAGGTACACAAAACTTTCACATGTAGAATCAACGGACAGTACATTAAAACATTTTTCTGGGAGACAGCCTTAAATGTAAGTGATTTGAAAAAGATGACAAATATAATTAATATTTGTTTCTTGAACCTGGAGTTTTGCAGCACATAATTTTCCATCTCTTGGAAGGTAATTCATAATGACCCACTAACTTTTCTCCCATTCATAATTGTGAAATTTGATCTATTTATAAGGTTCGTGACAACTTGGGTGGTAAGGTTGCACTGGACATTTCAGAAAATGTTTTGAAGGATGGTTTGGAGAGAAAAGGCCGCATACCTAGATATTCAGTATCATAATAGGCATACATCAACGGAGAAGGAGATTGGTGACGCTTGGAGTAGCTGCGGCCAGATTCCACGACCACCTTACACAGGGAATTGGTGGTCTCTTGGCTCAGAACCTACAAGCAGAAAACGCTAACCAGGGTAAGGTTGGCAAAAACTCGTAGAGGTGTTTGATGTGGCTTTCACTTAATCACTCAGAACAGATGTACAAATCTGTGGGCTTCTTGTTGCATTGAGTAGGTAAAGGAACGGCATCAACTACCAGTTCTCAGCTGAAAGAATGGGAGCAACCTCAGACTCTGAGGTTGTTTGACTTCAGTTCATAGATTCAACAGCGTTTCACTGGACACTCCCAAGGGCAGATTTGGGGAGGGAAGGGGGACCAATAGGGCCATGGCCATGGAACAAGGCTTCCATATAAAAGTTATCACAATGCTTACTGCCATCAGTGGGGGCCACGCAAATGTGACTGCATTATCACGATCACTTGATTTGTCTTGAAATGCTGCAAGAGCTTATCTTCACATCTTTCTGTCAACTGGATTCACCTGTTTGCCAAGTTTCTGGGCCAGCAGCTGCACTCCACACAAGTAGCCTGCTCTGCCAACCAGCAGCTCGTCAGACCCACAGGGTCCAAGGAAGTTCATTGGGGTACAAATCTTGGCAAAATTGGCATAACTGTAACAGAAAAACCACAGTCTTTCAGCTTTTTTTTATTCATCCATTACAAAGAATTCTCTTTCTGAGTGTAATTTACCTTTCTACATCCCTTATTGTTCAACACGATTGCTGAGCTGGGACCTTCTCAACATTAAGCCATTTGTGGATTCAACCACTGAAGCTACGTCCCGCCCCTTCTTGTTAATATTAGGATCACCTCAACATTGTGATGACATTGGATGCCCCTACAGTAGTTCTCCTCCACTTGAAAATGATGAGGACTTTTCTCAACTCTCGAGACTTTTTCATCATTCAAAATGGTACTGCTGCCATCTAAGGAAATTCTGATGAAACTGACAATCACATGCAAGGACAGCGGAAAAATACAATACTTTACTTTTTCCTTTTACAAAAGATTTCCGTAGGCCTTATATAAATATCGCTCATTTTCCCCTGCAGTTATTTCATCAGAAAGCAATAACATGTCCTTAATAGTAAGAAGCTAGTTAAAAGCCAAATTGAACTGGAAAATATTAACCCTAACCCTCCTCAATCCTTCACCTGCTGGAGGACTGAGGAGCGTTAGGGTTAATGAACTTACTTAGAAAACACTTTGAATTTTTCATGTACTGGGCTTGTCTACACGTCTGCAGAGTGTGTATGGAGTTCTTTCCATGTTTTATTAACCCTAACCCCCAAGGGTTGCTAGCCCTAACCTTTCCCATCCCCATTCAGAATACAGGACTTTGTGCGCAGAGGCTGTTGGACTTTGTTTTTCTGATATATGCCAAACCCAGTGCAAAGCCAGCTGTTATGGGCCTACCAGACCTATCCCCACAGAATAAAACACTTTACTATTGTTTAATTCTGTGTGGTTGGGGAAGGTTAGGGTTAAACTTATCAAATAAACATATAATTAAACTTATCATATCTGAAATGCCAATACCTTTCAAGGAACTGTGCAGCTGCATGACTGCTGCTTCCCTCGGACTGTGAAGACGAAGTGTGGTCGTACAATGCCCCGACGGCATCAACTCCGCACGCCCCACAAAGAAACGACGCCCCTGCCTCTTTCTTGTTTCTCTTCTCGTACTCTACCGACCCCACCAGGTACTGCTTGCACAGGCCCTGGTACCGCAGCGCCTCCTTGGGGAACTGGCCGGTCTGAGTGATGTACCACAGGGCGTAGGCGATTCCCGCCGCGCCGACATACAGGCCCCCTTCACAGTTGCGAAGGTGGCGGGGCTGCACGTGCTGCACCACGGCATCCACGATGGACGCGACCCGCCCCCGGAGCTGGGCGTGCGGGATGTCCACCGGCGACCCAGCGGTGTAATCGGGCAGACGGTTCGTGAAATACCTCATCGTGCTTGTGGTAAAATATGCTAAGCTGGAGAATCTATTGCTGGCCTCATCAAAAGTCTTTGAAAGGACAAAAATCTTTACAAACTACGTGCGCAACAGCGCCCCTGCAAGTACGACACGAATGTGCGGCATGCGCACATGAATTGTATATACCGCGCTGCGCAGTAGACCCCAGTGGAAAACTAAGGTAGCTCTCTAATCTGCCATATAAGTATCTTTTTGTGTGAAATGAAAGTTAAACCTGGAAAAACTGAAATCCAGTTCTTACAATAAACGTTTAAATCTGTTTGAGATGACGGGCTATTGAAAAAAAGCTGCAGCGCAATGGAACGAAACCGACATTTGAAAAAAGGTCCCATGCCAGAAGACGGATAGAGGGCGCTCGATAAAATTTAAGTTGGTCGCGCCGATGTAAACGGTATAACCGTCCTGTCCCCCCCGCCCCGTAAATGTGTCCCCCGGACACTTTTACCGGATTGCACCCCGGTAAAAGGTAATTTTGTCCCCCTGCCAAACGACGAATTTGTCCCCCCTGAAAAATGTGTCCCCCATGCACTAACATCACAAGTTTATAATTCCACGGAGGAAGGACTGAATGAAATTTTGGCAGCTAAATTAAAGAAAAAAAAAACAAACAAAAATGGAACAAAACAAACACCCACCAATTACACATGTACAATGAAGATAGAATTTCAAGTTTTCATACCATTATTCTGTGCGATTTTTTGCCATCTTCACAACAATAACATTTTCAGTATGTTATTAAGTAGCCCTTCAAGCCCAGTTTATACACTTTTCGGAAACTTACCTTTTTTAACTGACTTCCTCAATCCAAAACACAAAATTGATCTAAAAACAGGGGAAATTTGTTTATGTGTTGATTTGGCTTTTGTGAAATCAATATTAATATGCATATATTAATTAATATATTTATACAATATATATCAATATTAATATCCTACATTAATGTCTCTCACTCAGTTGACATGATTTTCAAATATTGTTAACAAGGATAATAGGGCGTGATAACAAAGGGGACTGTGGATTGGCTCCTGAAACACTTTTAGCAAAGTCTACACACAGGTAGGAACTAGCATATTTTGTTTTGTTCGTATCATGAGACTTAACTCGAATTTCCCTGGTTGGCATATATTTCCGTGCAGATTTTTACTTCCAAAACAATGCAAGATAAACCATAGAGCATTACAGGCAGAGCAGTGCCCCTCATTATTTACCAAACAGCGCCCTCTTAAGGTGGGAACAGACCAAGCAGAGATACAGGTAGAATTAATACTGGCTTTCATTGCTTTAAGCTATCTACAAAAAAAATACAACTCTATGAGTTTCTCTTAAAAATCCACTGTGACAAATCTTCACATTTATAGTGAATGCGAACAAGTACCTTACAGTTTGGTTGTCTAACTCTTAAAGATGCCACATGCTGTCACTTGTGAAAACAAACTTGATCGACGCAGGCAAAGAATGAACCAAGAAATGGGTTTAATTTTAATTTTTCATTCACACTCAGGCACCTGGCAATAAAAAGCAAACTTCTTCGCAAATCTTTTTTTCGGTTAGCTTGGTGATGATACTTCATTAGCTGCCGTTCGTGCGGACGCGCTGGTTACAACTTTTAGACACGCTTATGAGTTATCCGATTGTTAGGTTAGTTAAGCAAGTCTGTTAGGTCGAAAGTCAAGTAATAAATCTAATTAACTGAATTCCAGCACAGTGGTTACAAGCACATTTAGAAGACGTTGAAGAATGGAAACTCGGCCTTCTCTGGTTGCAGCAGGTCGGCTAGGAAGCAGGCCGTACCAGCCAGGCCCTCGTACAGGCTGTAAGGACTGTCCGGCACCCGTGCTTCTCGCCGGAACTGCTCCTCCTCGAGGAAGGCGGCAAACTGTAGGGCTCGGTGCAGGTGCTTCTTGTCACCAGTGAGGCGGTAGAGGAGGAGGAAGACATAGCCGCTGCCAGCCACGCCGTGACAGATTCCGGGGCCCTTCTTCAGCAGGCCCTTCTCCCAGGTCACCTCGCCGCACTTGAGGCAGGCCTGGAGGTAGGCGTCGTCCTTCCAGGTCAGGTAAGCCTTGGCGAACAGGTAGATCACCCCTGTTGGAACAGATAAAGCAGGCAAGACAAAGACGGATGAACAGTTTCCTGGAGTTTGAAACTTTAAAACTTCCCCAACTCGGGTTAGCTTTTACACAGGTGGAATGATTGGAAAACTTGCTAAGCAAATTCATGGACTACGCTGAAATCAGCTGAGAACAAGTCACAAATAATGCATATTTCAACACATTTTAGTTGGTAACTTGCTTTTCCTAAGCAAGTATTTTCTGTGCAAGGCTGATTTCTACACTTGGCAGCTTCTGGTTGTTTTCAGTATTGTGGATGAGACCACTCACCCACATCAACGTAAGACCCCCACAAGGTGATCATAAGACTGTCACAAGACAATCACAAGCCTTCCAGTCTGAATTCTCGTCCCAAGCTTTTTACATGAACTACAACAAAAGCATTCGTTTGTCATCGTTCACCCTCCCCAATTGTAACTGCTCCTGTGACTGGTATTGTAAACAGGTCTTGTGATCGTCTTGACTACAACACATTTTTTAGGGACTCTTGAGTATTCCTTCAGCATGTTGGGGTGCCAAANCCTTGGATGCACAGTGGAGGATTTTGGAGGATGCAGGAAGGTTTCCAACCGGGAGAATTTCCCAGGGAGTGGGGTTCACACTCACCCGGTGCCCCGTGACACCAGTGTACCAACTCGTGCTTGGCCGGTCTGGTCCTGGCCCCGCATTTGTGTAGGGCGGATGGAATGTTCCCCCCGTGACTGGCCTGGCACTTCACCAAGAAGTCAACGGAATCGCGAATGTCCTTTGAGGCGGAGAAATCTGACTTCACAAAGTTGGGAAAGCCAAGCAGAACCTGCAGTATCCCTGACAGACCATGTGCAGCCCCTTAAGAGGGATAAGGTAGAAAAATCTTTTACATGTAAGATCATCAGGTACATTAAAACATTTTTTTTTTCTGGAAGACAACCTTGAATGTAAATGATTTGAACAAAATGGCAAATATAATGAATATTTGTTTCTTGAAACTGGAATTTTACAGCACATAATTAGTTTGAAGGATGGTTTGGAGAGAAAAGGCCGCATACCTAGATATTCAGTATCATAATAGGCATACATCAACGGAGAAGGAGATTGGTGACGCTTGGAGTAGCTGCGGCCAGATTCCACGACCACCTCACACAGGGAATTGGTGGTCTCTTGGCTCAGAACCTACAAGCAGAAAACGGTAACCAGGGCAAGGTTGGCAAGAACTCACGGTCGCTGGATTTGTCTATACTATCTTGAAATGCTGCAAGAGCTTATCTTGACATCTTACTGTCAACTGGATTCACCTGTTTGCCAAGTTTCTGGGCCAGCAGCTGAACCCCACACAAGTAGCCTGCTCTGCCAACCAGCAGCTCGTCAGACCCACAGGGTCCAAGGAAGTTCATTGGGGTGCAAATCTTGGCAAAACTGGCATAACTGTAATACAAAAACCACAGTCTTTCAGGTTTTTTCTGATTCATCCATTACAAAGAATTCTCTTTTGCTTTCTGAGTGTAGTTTACCTTTCTACATCCCTTATGGTTCAATACGATTGCTGAGCTGGGACCTTCTCAACATTAAGCCATTTGTGGATTCAACCAGTGAAGCTACGTCCCGCCCACGTATAGCTAGCTAATTTTGTTAAATATTGGGATCTCCTCAACATTGAGAAGACTTCGGATGCCACTACAGTAGTTCTCCTCCACTTGATGTTAATGAGGACTCTTCTCAACTTTTGGGACTTATTCATCTTTCTCTCTACTTTAGAATGTATACATTCAAAATGGTACTGCTGCCACTGATCTGTGGAAGGTCTGACAAAATTGACTATCATATGCAAAAGGACAGCGGAAATATACGGTACTTACACACTACTTAACTTTTCCTTTTAAGAAAGATTTCCATAGACCCTATGAATATTACCCATTTCCCCCTGCAGTTGTTTCCATCAAAAAGCAATAATATAATGATATGTTCTTAATACTCTACCGTCTCTCTCAGGGAAAGGAGCCGTTATCAAAAAGAATGATAGAGACTCATTGGATTGACTTACACAAACTACTGTTTTAATCCGAAAATTCATTTACATCGTCTCCACATGTACAATGAGCAACTGTTGCTAGTGAGGCTGGATATTACGGTATGGGACGTTCATCACAGGAATCAGAGTACAGCTTGTCCAAATCTAAGCTGTTTATTCAGGAGTGACGGATAGGTTATTCATGGCAGAACTATGCACTCACGAACGGTTTAGGAGTTATTACTCCAAAGCTGTCCTCTCGGGAATGATCGATGCTCGTCCGCACCGTCGGGGCTGGTTCATTTTAGACTTCAGGGCCGCGTCTTAGCCAATGAGAGCACTGAATTGGGGTGGTTATGAATTATTCATATTGTAGAAAGCCTTTGGAAGAAAACTCAAGGGGATTTTGTGCACACGTGGTCTTCGCTGACCTCGTTTCTGAAGACTCATACAGTCCGCGAAGTTTGGAAGCGGGAGGGTGAAAGGCTACTCGTGGGTATGCTACGGGGAAAGGAAAGGGTGAACCTTTCTCGGTACATTGAGTTGTGTACAACACCCAAGTCTCTGGATGGCAAGGAAATCTACACACAATTCTTAAGGGGTGAAACTGTGGACGGGTGGAGGTAGTTGACCTTGCTGTGCCGTGACTGGACACAGGCTTTCGATGTGTGGTTCAGCGGGACACATACGCTATTATGAAGTGCGGGTCTGAGTGGGTCGAATGTACGGGTCGTATGTGTGACTGAAAGTAGGATCGACTCCGACAAAGATTTGGGGAAATGTGCTACGAAGTATCGACAGCGATTTTAGGGCTTTCGCAGCATAGTGCTATCGCGTCGCGCGTGGTATTACCTGCGCTGTGTACAGTGCATGTTGCACGTGATGTGGATGGTCATTGCGCGCTCGCTGTGGGGAGTGCGTGGTGTGTACATGTACATAATAGAGATTTCGTGTACGCTATAATCAACATGTACATTGTACATGCATATAGGGAACAGTGTGTGGGAGCATAACAATACGAAGAAGCTATAGTAAGAAGCTAGTTAAAAGCCAAATTGAACTGGAAAATATTAAAGCATTAAGGCTACTTAGAAAACACTTTGAATTATTCATACCAGGTTTGTGTATGGAGCTCTTTCCATGTTGTATATTAAACTTCTCAAATAAACATATTATTAAACTTATCAAATCTGAAATGCCAATACCTTTCAAGGAACTGTGCAGCTGCATGACTGCTACTTCCCTCGGACTGTGAAGACGAAGTGTGGTAGTACAATGCCCCGACGGCATCAACTCCGCACGCCCCACAAAGAAACGACGCCCCTGCCTCCCTCTTAATCTTGTTGCTCTTCTCGTACTCTACCGACCCCACGAGGTACTGCTTGCACAGGCCCTGGTACCGCAGCGCCTCCTTGGGGAACTGGTCGGTTTGAGTGATGTACCATAGGGCGTAGGCGATGCCCGCCGCGCCGACATAAAGGCCCCCTTGGCAGTTTTGCAGGTGGCGGGGCTGCACGTGCTTCACGACGGCATCCACGATGGACGCGACCCGCCCCCGGAGCTGGGCGTGCGGGATGTCCACCGGCGACCCAGCGGTGTAATCGGGCAGACGGTTCGTGAAATACCTCATCGTGCTTGTGCTAATCTGGAGAAACTATTGCAGGCCTAATCAAAAGTCTTCGAAAGGAGGAAAATCTCCACTTCCACGATGCACTATGTGCACAGCACTGCCGTTCCACGGCACGACAAGCATGTTCGGCATGCGCACCAAAGATGGGATCGCATGTGGGGAACCTAATGTAGCTCCCTTATTATCATTATTATTATTATTATTATTATTATTATTATTATTATTATTATTATTATTATTATTTATTCATGCCAATTCGTTTTATCACATACAAGATGGGCATTGGAGAGGCAAAAGCAATAACAATTATTGTGGCCAAAGACCTGCCACTCCTCATCAAGTTGTGTATAGAGTAAATAAATATGAATAAATATAGATAAAAATACTAATATATAAAAGTATTTGAAGCCAAAAGTTAGCACTTGAAAATATTTAAATATTTAGAGAAAGAATTACTGGAAATGAATAAAGATAATATACGCAATTGAATATGAAATTGAATTAGTTAAATGAATAACCAATTATTAGTCTTACCCAAAAGAACATGTACATGCAACATAATTATGGGGTTGGGATTAATGAAAGGAAAATGCTGTTTCGAAGAGTGGGAATAAACGTTGAAAAAGGTTGTAAAACAATAGCATTGCGAACGTGTTCAGGGAGAGTTGACCAAAGACGAGGGAAAGCACGCGGAAACAAGATAAATGAAGGGATTGGGTCCTAGCTTGCTGGTGCTGAAATAATCATGAACATGGTGTAAACATATTCATTACATTCCACAATATTGAACAGACACTTGGAGACAAACGAGTGAGCAGCATAAGTATTTTTTCGTGTGAAGTTCAGGTCAAACTGGAAAAAAACTTAAATCCAGTTCCTCCAATGTTTGCAACTATAATGTATTGGGAAATAGCTGCAGTGCAATGGAACGAAACCGACATTTGAAAAAAGGTCCCATGCTAAAAGACGGATAGAGGGCGCTCGATAAAATTTATGTTGGTCGCGCCGGCGCGCCGGTTGTCATCAACCCTAAAAATAAACTGCTGCGCTAATTGCATGGGCGATACTGAAGGGACTTGAAGTTACGTACATGTAAGTTTTGCAACTCTTTCCAAGATTTCATCATTAAAACGGATCTTTCAGTAAGGCAAGAAGAAGCGATAGCAGGCCAAGGAACGGAAAGTAAAAGCAAAGCATCTTTATGTTTAGATCTCTGACTCGGAGTACTGATTCATGCCTTCTGGTGGTTGTAGGCCTAATAACGTAAGCCACCGCAGTCGGCACACATGGACAGGAGAACGAGGGCCTGGTAATTTATGGAATTATTATAATTTTGCCTCTCTGTAATCCAGGGTAGCTTGTAAAGAAAAGATATTTAGCTTAAACAGCCATTTCAATAGGAACAAAATTATAATTAACTAGTGCAACCCAGCATCATCACGACCATGATAGTACTTAGTAGTAGTACTACTAGGCCGTCATGAATTGCCTTTTTAAATATTTGGAGGTGATCGGATGTCTACTGTTGCCCAACCATGTCCACACGTTTAAAAAGGCAATTTGTAGAGTCCAAGTTACTCGAACTATTCTGGAAGTAGGTTATCGCACTGAGCCAGAGTTAGAGGTCAAGGGCATTGCATCACTCGGACAGGCTCAAATAAACCTTTTGTGCATTATCTGAATTACAGTGAAGAAGAACAGCCCCCAGGGCATCAGCAAACGGCACTGCATAACCTTGATTCTTTAAACCACTGAAATTTAACATTCTTTTCCCTTTTTCCCCAAAATATATAGAGTTGAGAGACCGAGTTGGCCAGAATGGAGGTGAAGATGTTGTTCCAGTCTCTCCTTAACAGTTTCTGACGTTCGTTGTTGGCTTCATGTCCTTCATCATCAACGGGGACCGCCCACCAGCCAAGATCCCGCCCGTCCGCAACCCACTGCTCCTCCAGAGCGCTTCCAGTTTGGCTCGGAAGATTAGATTACGACAGGTATCTTTGTTATTCCCCAACTATAGTATCTGTTCCAATGATAGCTGGGAGAGTCCCAACTGTAGTGCTGCAGTTGGGCTGGCCCAACTGTTGTTGACCAGTTTTTGTAGAAAATTCTTCAATCTTATCCAAGTTTATGCATCTCGCACTTGACACAATTCATCTAAAATATGGCACTTCATCAATGACACGACACTATAAACAATATGACTTTGGCACATGCTGGTCACATGCACGCTGGACCTCTCTGCTGTAGTTGGGCCGGCCCAACTATAAACCTCTAGTTGGAACGGGCCCAACTATAGTTGGGACTGATGCTGCAGTTGGGGTATAACATCTTTACTGTGACTTGTCAGCATTTTCGCATGGAGTTATTACATGTAGATGCGATCGATTGGCCATTTGAAGTTAATTTTGGGTTCACGTCACAACCTACCCTGATTTTTCACCGTCGTCCCGATGCTTTGATTTTTCATATTTCTTCAAGTATGTTAAATTTAAAAAATTTAAAATTAACAGGCACATACATATGGACTTCACTCAAACTGCAAAACGTTTTGTGTACACGACTTCAAACAAGCTGCTGATGTGCGACGCATGCCCGTAACTTTCTGCAATTCTTGTTATTTCCGACTTGTAAATATCCCGCAAATAAATAGCGTGACCTGTTATTGTAAATGATTGCAAGCAGCCTTTCTATCATTGGCACTAATTTATCAGACATGGGTGTCAATTCTCCTTGGATGTTAAGCAGTCAGAGTTATGAGATATAAATTCCTCTTCTGATTTTGTTCCATCTCAGTATGTGAATCTTACGTAGACAGACTGCATTCGTCAATGTGACCAGTTAGTACTTGCATTAGCACAGTGTATTAGACACTGATCTATAAAGCCCTCTGCAATCCTATCAAATCAATCAATTTGTACCTTCATTTTCTAGTTATAAAGCTCCACATTAGTTTAAAAAGCGGGGATCCATTGTCCCATATTCTTAAAAATCTTCAAACTTTTGAATTTGAAGGAAGTTAAAAGGAAGGATTTAATCGAAATGACCTTTTCCACGGTCTGACTTAAAGTCTCGTAAGGTCTCATTTTTAGACTGGGTTTTAAACTTGTTGAAGGAAATTTCGTTGAATTCTTGACTGATCTCAAAGACTCAAATGTTCACTTAGTTCAAGTGAAATTTAATCAAACAAATCAAATGTTATGAATTTCGGTGAATTTGGTTTAGATCAAAAGCCAGATAATTGTGGAAGCCTACATTGAACGCATCAAGGAGGTAAACGGCCTCTTGAATGCTATGGTGTCGTACCGATTCAGCGAAGCCTTAGAGGAAGCCCAGCAGATTGACGACATGCTGGACTCGGGCGAAGTACCTGACCGCTACTCAGAGAAGAACGCTCCGTTTCTAGGGGTACCATTGACTGTTAAGGAAGCTTTTTTTGTCATAGGTGAGAGAGATTGGAACCCTAGAGTACCAAAGTGACCATGTCATGGGCACAATTGTGTGTGTAAAAGGCATTAGCACAAGAGCCAGCATGTAAATCAATCACTCGTGCTTCATTTGTAAGCGCTACACTTTCTGGTTCACAGTGACACCACACTTCGGCAATCTGTTGAGTTGTGCTCTCCTCTTTGAAACCAAGTTTTCCCCAAAAGCACTCATGGTATTGTAGCTCTTAGAGAATCTGATTATTTCTAGAGAGAGAGGAAAGACGAGAAAAAAGTCTTCAGTCTTAGAAGTGCTAGAAAACCTTAAAAAAAACTGTAGACGTTGCCGCAAAGGAACATAACGCACAAAATGACAAATGACGGACTGTACCCTTAAAGGGGTGGAGTCTCTCCTCAGCGGCTTTACAAGTTCAAGCACAACAAATCTGTCATTGGTTTCCTATGCAGTGCAGGACAGGGCAAGATTTAGGAAAGCTCCCAGCAAGAAATATAAATGGAGTTTGACACGGCACTTGACAAATCAGCACTGCTGTTACATTGCATTGACATGTAATTCGTGATGAATTTGTAAAGCCATACAAACAAGGCTTGGGTAGTTTTCAGGTGGTACAGGGAGTAAAAGGCAGAACTGCTTTTGGGGAGTACAGGGAAGGGACTTATAGGCTGAGGGAAGGGACTTGTAGGCTGAGGGAAGGGACTTGTAGGCTGATTGGAAACATGTTTCTCTCAGGAGCAAAAAGTGGAATTGGAACACAGTGTTGTGGTTGAGTCCATCTCTAGTCCCAGCAAGTGCATCACAAGTCCTTCTGTCTTAAGCCATTTCACAAGCCATTCAAATGAACTGTGACAAAAGCATTCTTTTGTCATTGTTCACCCTGTTACTTGTGAGCGGTTTTGTAACAGGACTTGTGAAGAACTTTCGAGGGACTCAGCTTCGACAGTTTACACTTGCAGTCAAATGCAGTATTCACAATTGAACATTCCAAGCTTTCCTTACTTGGAGATGTTTCCCTAAATGTGCTTGAAGCATTGCATTCATGTCTGAGACATTGCACACCTGTGCAGGTCAGCCAAACACCAGCGGGCTCGTCTACCGCAAGGGTATCGTCTCCGACCGCGACGCGCCCGTGGTGGACAACTTGCGGCGAGCCGGATGCGTCATACTGGGCGTGACCAACATCAGCGAGCTGTGCATGTGGTACGAGTCGGCAAATTTTGTCTACGGCCGCACCAACAATCCTTACGACATCCGCAGGATTGTGGGGGGCAGTTCAGGTATGTGGGCCTCCTTCAAGACTGACAGGCGAGGCCATAAGGCATTGTAAGTCAGTGAGTATCAAATAATCCAGTAAATAACTGCGTACTCCCATAGACTGTCTGCATCATGCACAGTCACAGAGGGAAGGCTTATAGGCCCCATACGACGTGTATGATTAGACGCTTTAGAACTTACCTTGTCACTGAATTTGCACGGTATAAGCTGCCCTCCATGATGGGGCATTGTGCAAGCCCTCTATAGGGAGGGGTAAGAATCTTAAGCCCCTCACCACAACCCTACCTAGACTCCACCCCCTCTGTATCCCTTCCACTCCAACAGAAACGTACGCTTTTTAATATCAGTATTTCTCAAAATGTAGCTACAATTAAATTTCATTCAAATTTAGTTACTGATTTTTCTAAATTTTATAAAAATTCAATTCTTTTATAGAAAATCCCCCCCAAATGGAAATATTTCCAAACTTGTTCACCCCTCTTATTTTTAGTCTTGAATTGTGCCAGCTTGCTGTTAATTCGCGACCACTAAAAATCTTAAACCAGTTTCTTTCAAACTATAGAATAGTCCGATAAGACGCCCTAACTGCGGTGGCACCGCACTCACACGCACATGCTTCAGCTTGACCCGCGCATGCGTTTGACAAATCAAAATACCTTATTGGTCGAAGAGGCATGTAAGGCGCGCGTACCACCTGCCCACGAGCGTCGTGCCACCACAGTAATGGCTTCTAATTCTGGTGGTCGAATTACACGTCACTTTACGTCACTTGTTCTTTACGTGGCAATGAGGTAGGACAAAACCCATGAAACCCCGCAAGAAAGTGCACATGCAAACAAAGCATGATGTCATGATGCTTTAGGGCCTATTGATACCAGATGAAAACACAGTCAAATCAACTCTTTTCAGTGATAAACCTTGGAACTTCATCTCTATCGTCCCTTTAAGAGCACAAAACTGGGACTGACAAATTTAAATTGTATTTTTGGGTGTCCGTTCTTTTCCTGTGAAACTATGTGTCAGGAGGAGAAGGTTGCATTTTGGGAGCAGCAGGTTCGGTGATTGGTATCGGGTCAGACATTGGGGGCAGCATTCGCATGCCAGCTTTCTTCAATGGAATATTTGGCCATAAGCCAAGCCCAGGTAAGCACAGGTACTGTGCAGACTTTTCATAAGTTCTCAAGACATTCAGTTTGACTGCATCTTTACCCTATACACAAATTTGATTTTGGACTCGCAGGTCAAACATCCAAGTTACTATGGTGGAAATAATTGATATCATTTCTCTGCAACAGCTAATGAAGGACTGGCCATATCAACTTCAAACTTGGTACAGCGTGTGTGGGTTGAAATGATGTCCTCTAGAAGCATGTTGCTTTAAACTCCATAGGTCAAAGGTCAAGGTCTTCATAACTCCATAGGTCAAAGGTCAAGGTCTTCATAACTCCATAGGTCAAAGGTCAAGGTCTTCATAACTGAAAACAGACTGGGCATATTAATTCCAAATTTGGTCTCGGTTTCAGGAGCCTATTGGATTCTACAGGTCAAAGGTTAGGGTCGGTATTGTTGAAGCAATGGAGGTGCTTTTCCCAATGGAGATTTTTGCGGTCACAGACTAAAGTCATGGGTTCAGGCATGGGCTTAGGCATGGGCGTGGTGGGGTTTTGTTGTTTAGTACGTTGGTCTTGTTCTCCCTCATCCTAGGCGTGGTGCTCAACTCCGGGCAGTTCCCTACGGCCGGCAAGGAGCGGGACTGCATGCTGGGCACAGGGCCCATGTGCCGCTACGCCGTGGACCTGGACCCCATGCTGCGCATCATGGCTGGCGGCTATGGGCTGGCCAAGCTACGGCTGGACGACCCAGTGGACCTGCGGGCGCTGCAGTTCTTCAGCATGGGGGACGACGAGCGGCTGCGCCTCGTGTCGCCGCTGGACCCGGAGCTGGTGGAAGCCCAGGCGCAGGTAGGGATGAATTCCTGCTTGAAATCTGAAAAAGGAAAAAAATGTGACCCGTCACGACAAAAATCAGCACTCCTCTATTTCCTGCTGTAATGGTTCAAAGTCAGAACTTGAAGGGGAGGTCAATTTGGTATTTTTTTTAATATTTGATGAACAAGATGAATAAGATGAACCTTTCTTCTATTTAATTCCAAATTTTAAGCTGGATCAGATATCTAAAATGTTATTTTCTTACCAATTTTGGCGATAGCATTATTCTTGCCTGGTCAGAAATGTTGAAACAGTTTCGCAAAGCTGCCAGAATAATGTCACATTGTCACCCCATTGTCCTAAATGTTTAAGTGTTACATGCCATTGGGAAGCCCTCTTCCTGCCCAATATCTCAATTTTTGAAAATTTGGACTTGCAGCTCATTTTGTGGCGACAGGTCACAAATACGCATATAAGACTACTTCCTTTCAACAAGCAGTGTCAACAGTATCATACCCATCAAAATGCACCTGCAAAATGAAACAGGGTCGGGATAAGCCATATCGGAGAAAAGTGCGAAGAAAATGAATACACACTTTTTCAGTAGTGCCATGCCATTTGAAAGGAATGCTTAGCAAGGACTGAGTGCAAGGGGTCTATCTGCCTTGAGCAGAAGCACCCCCTCAATGGCTGAAAAGAGCCACGTCGGTGGGATCGAATGTTCATTATGTTGGCAGCGATGTGACCGTGTGCATAACCTAGTCATTTGTGAAACAGCGAAGTGCAGTTTTATGAGCTGCATTTTATTGTGTTAACATCAGATATGTGGTAGTCGTGTGTATGTAATATTTGCATTCTTGAGAGAGCCTTCACAAAACTGCAAGATTTCCTAAATTTTACACATTTGAGTTTGGGAGAGGGTACGTGGGTGTGGAAAAGGCTCAAAGCTAAATAACTCGCATTTTGGTTGTCAACAGGTGAGGACTTACCTGGAGAAGACATTAGGTGTGACCGTCCACCGTCCAAAACTGCACCGTCTGAGGTATGCTGTGGACATGTGGTTCAGTATGATGTCCACCATCGACAACGAGTCGTTCACCCACATGATGGGCAACAACGGGCCCCGGATCTTCCCCCTGTGGGAGGGGCTGAAGCGGCTGGTGGGCCTGTCCAGCCACACAGTCCCCGCCATCACATTGGGTCTCATCGAGGGCATGGATAAACTCATGCCGGACCGTACGCAGCGGCTCTTGGCCAAGCTGGGCAAACTCCGCGAAGAGGTGGAGAGCATCTTGGGGCCAAACGGGGTGCTGATCTACCCCTCCCACCCTAAGCTGGCACCCTTCCACAACGCCCCTCTCCTGTACCCCTGCAATTTTGGCCCCACCGCTGCCTTCAACGCGCTCAGCCTTCCGGCAACCCAGGTCCCCCTGGGCCTGAGTGCCCAGGGTCTTCCGCTCGGAATACAGGTGGTCGCCAATCGATACAACGACCACCTAACATTAGCCGTGGCCAGGCACCTGGAGAAAGGTTTCGGTGGCTGGGCAGCGCCTATAGGAATGGGCATGTTTCGTGAAGCCATCGAGCGGAGTAACTCCTAGGTAATTCATTTCGGAATTGAGCTTCACTTGTAACCACCAGTATCAAAAGCCTACGGGTTTGGTTTTTTTGTGCATAGTCAGCACAAAGTTTTCAGGATGCCTGATGCGCGAGATTCAGATTTAGATGTTTAGCAGCTGCTGTTTCTTGTGATTGGAAGAAACGTGATGTAGAAATTGTACCTAGCGACTGAAACCTGTGATTGGATGAACTCGATAGATACCATTTCATTGATATTTGTCAGTGCGTAAAATTTAAAGAGTAAGACAGGTTTGGGGATGTCACTGAGGAGATGTTATAGAGAGGTTGTACCATGCCTGTTGCCTGAACCTAGCTTGTGCGCACACTTGATACTCACTAATAGGGCATTTGCAGGTTGGTAAAGATGACAGGTGCTCCTCAAAGAAAAGAAAGCAGTACTTGCATATATATACATGTATATGTCGTAATGAATGTGACTGCTGTATATTTTCCAGGAACAGCGCCCTCTATTTAATAAAATTGCATGTGCCTTTCATATTTCTGGCTATATATATCAGGAATGCTTCTTAATCTAATGTTTATTTGAATGACAAATGTGAATCTACTGTTATCGGGGATCTAAGTGTAAGTGCTGCAAAAAAGTGTCAAAACTGCACGAAATATTGAAATGTCCGAGTGTATATGTGTTATGTCTAGATGTAGATAGGCATGTTCATGGAACAAGGGCCAAGTTCGATCAGCAACTGTTGAATCCACCACGGGTCGATTTTGCTTGGTACCTGTGATATATTATGTGTATGGGTTACCGGGGAAAGTTGACCACAGGTCGACAGACGGTGGCTGATCAAATGTGGCCCAGTTGTCAGTTTTGTAGGCACGCTGCATTCCCTCTCTGTGAAGAAAAAAGGGCACTCAACAGCGTTCTTTTGAGCCAACTCATGACATGCGGATGTTTGTGAGTGTTGGGCACACGATTACGCACAATTGGGCAAGACAAGCAACTGGTTTTGATGAGCAAGATGTTGAATGGAAAATAGTCAGAATAACATTGCATGAATACAGCATCACCTTTAAAGCTTAAGATGTACCTCAGGCATTCAATGTAACATCATTCAAATGTGCATAGCGTATTTTATGTACTTGATAGTACTTTGCACGTTGTTCTTTACAATGTATTATTTTATACCGAGGTATTTCAAAGTTTCCAAAATATTGTTTGGATAGTTTTACTAATTTTGATGACAGTATATCTTTAGTATATGGTAATTTTTAAGGCATATCGTATGAAATGATTATGTTCATGTAAGCAAAGAGGGATATATGAAATTCATTAGATTTAAAAGAGATTGTGCAATAATTCTGATTTTTCTGTTTTCTTGTTTGTACAATGTGCTGGAACCACTGCTACAAGTATTTTAATTTTCAAAAAGCATCTCATACATATTCATGGTCAGCTCCAGTTCCTGTGGTCAAACTGTGATTAATCTGGGGTCATGAGATGTAACAACATGCTGTATACTTTTCAATTTATTGTGTGATGCTAGTTTTTCCCTAATTTGGGGCCAAAAAAATCAAAATGATCAATGTCCAACGCTGAGTGTCATTTGTCACAGGGTGTAAATTTGTTGTAACATTCACAGTTTATGCCAGCCACCTGTTGGCAAAGCGCGGGAGGCTTTCATCGTAAAACTCAAGGAACAGATCACAAGTATTAACAGTGTTATGCAACTAACAAAAGGATTATACAATATCTCTTCTATCTTTAAATTCTGAGGCGATCATTCGACAGATTTGGGCCAATGCTGTTGCCAACCTTGACAGGAACGGAGCAAATGAGGGCGACACGTACAAAACGGTGCTCATTGTTTTGAAAACAAAAGTAACGCCTGCCTTTGTGTCTCCGAATTCCCGTCAACGTCTTGATATTTTCTTCTCTCCAGTCCAACAAGATGGGGGGAGGGGCAAAGAAGCCAGTAGTTTCACAAAGTAGGGAGGAGGGGAATTCCCCCTTCCATTGGCTGCAGTTGGAGAACACATTTTGTCACTGGTAAATGGAATAAAAAGGAGTCATAAATAAAGTGGAAAAAATAAAAGCATTTTTGAAGCACCCGAATAAACAAAAACATGGAATGACTTCTCTGGAGTATTTATTCTTCAAGGAATTGGCCTCACAAAGTGACAGCAACATTATGTACAGTTTTGAAATTCCTTTCAATGTTAACTATCTCTAAAAGTCATTGATCCAATGAAACATATAATATTCAGAAAAATATTTACAATCATCTTTGTTGTGCATACTTTAAAACTTACATACTTAATCACATGCTCGAACAGACGCCTTGTTGATGGTTTGCTAATACTATGTAGTGAAAGTGTGACTTTACATTCTTTTAATGCACAGAGGAACCCTCACCCATGGTCACTGTTTGCTCACGAGGCCCCCTATGGTGCTAGCAATTAGGGGCTGCACATCAGAATTTGGCACCCGAGCTCCAGATTGGGACTGGGTACCCATAATCAACTAAACAAATTACCCTTTGAAACTTCAAATAAGATAGACACCAGTCTATTTGGAATGCAAAAGCATTTCACATTTCTGCTCAAGTCGGAGGATTCAAATTCTTATTTTACCAGTAAATAGTTGGATATGATTTCTGGAGCATGGGGTGAATCCAACGATTAAAACTTGAGGCCTCGGTCTAGAAAATGACCAGTTATTCCCCTTCTCGTGGGTCACTGTGACATTTGTCACCGGACATTCCTTATGGTCCCCTTTAATGGCGGAAAGAACTGGCTCTGTACAGTTCTAATCACAATGCTTACCACCATTGGCAGGGGCCACTGAAAATAACCAGTGATCACATCACCACGGTCACCAAGGACAAAAAAGCTTGACTCGGGATATGGTCCATTTCTCTCTTGATCTCACATCTAAGAATGCTTACAAAATTCAAAAGATTGCTGAAGTTAGCACATCCGTGGAAACACGAGTAGTTCTATGTACTCTGTGCCTCCATGGCATGTGATTACCACAAATGGGACCGACAGAAATCCAAAAAAAAAAAGAAGTGTTCTCTGCTTGTAGGTACAACAGGGCACTCTACGTATGACGCCACACTTCATTTACGAGTGTGTTTTCCTATGCTGCTTGATGGACCACTGCCCCCCCCTCCCCTGGCTCCACAGTCAAGTGCAGGCACGTGCAGTTTTGAGTAAACAACAGCACGACGTCATCCGTACACAGGCCCATTGCTTTGGCCTCGTTGGGCAAAATCTGTTCAACTTTTAGCAACGGAAAATGTTCACAATAGGAACACACCACTGGATAAGCCTGTAATATACACCCCCCATTACTTAATCAATCATCCAACGGGCATTATTTTTCTTACCAGGGTATAATTTGATACAAATGAGCTTAACAGTCAAGATCTGTCAGTATGTAACGACACCGGCCTTAACCAGATTTCACATAACAAACGCATTATCTAGTGTGACCCTTAATCTACATGCTGAATAAGTCTGGTCGGTTTACCTGTACACGTGCTCCAAAATGACAGTTTGACTTCAAGTGACCCAGTCTGAGATTTCGGTTAGGACCTACAAATTGTTGCAGATACTGACGTGGATTTGAAAAAGGGGGATTACCATGTAAGGCCAGGTTTGAGCAAGTCAATTACCAAGATGCAGTGTATCAGACAAATGCATGATTTTAACTGTGGATAGAGTCGCAGAAACGATTGACTTTTTATGTCCAGATTTTCGATAGGCAAGCGTGAAAGATGAGGGCTTGTGCTTAAATGACATCGGTCTATCAGCAGCCCATGTGAACCTATCTCCCTGTAGTGCCGTTAGGCCGTAAAGCATTATTGCCAGACGCAAATAGCTTCAGAGAGGGCACTTGTGGCCTGCCCCGATTGCCAAATGGGGGATGCCTAATCATCTCGGCGCGTGCTCAATTGAGCGAGTCGGATGGGTAGGAAATAGAGAAGCATAATGCGCGGAGTGTGGGGCTGCATGCGTCCCACGGTCGCAACACAGCTCCCTTGTCCCTGTCTGCTCCCTGTCAAGTTGTCGGCGTTGTTCTGTATGTTGTAGGAGGGAAAAACGATGAAACTGCACTGTTTTGGGAGAGGAAAAAAAAACAACTTGACATTTGCGAAATCTCCACAAAGCCAGCCGCACTTGCTGCGTCTTGGCACATTGATCAATTAGCGAATACATCTTGAAAATGTTAACATGACGCGCAGTCTACAAAAAGGGGCTGGGAAGTGTTGGGCAAATATTGACATTGTTAAGTGGGTGAACGGGCACTTATCGGGGGGGCGGAAACTTTAGTCCAATTAGGTGGTATTGTCGTGAAGTTCAACAGGCAGGACATGGAAATTAAAGATGATGCAATGCGAAACTTGACAAACTAGACAGCGTAGTTTTGGTGCAGATTTGCCATCACGTGGGTTTGAATCTCATTATAAGGGTACCAGACTTAAGTTGGCGTCACTTCTTGGCAGGGACACTGGAAATGGGTGCCTAGGCTAGCCACATTTTGCCTGGATACATTTTCAGACTTTTCTTGTGACCTGCATTTTCAGAAGTCCAAGAAATCCACAGTTCTTTAGTTTGTAACTGTCCATATCAACCCAGGAAACCTTGCTTTTGTTCAAGACTTTGAAGTTTCCATCTTCTGTATAGAAGGGACAGGCGGGAGTGACATGTAAGCGCTTTGAAATTATGTTTATAGATGGCAAGATTAAAGAACACGAAAAATACTGACATAAAACAGTATACCCCAATCACAGCATAAACACCTACACAGATTACACAATAAAAAAATGACATTTCCTGTATTTTCGTGATTTCCACTCAGGCTTTGTACCGGCATGCAAAGAAATCACTGAGGAAATTCTCAAAATTTCAGAGAGTCTGTGACAAAAAAAAATCACTTTTCCAATTTTGATCTGTTGGTTTTACTCAGCGGCACTGCAGTTAAACAGCCTGGCCACCGCCAGGAGACAATATAAATCTCTCCCCATAACACCTCACTGTGAGAAACATCAGTGTTGAAGCCTCTTCAAAGCATCCAGTTTTCAGAATAATTTATTGGTGTGTTGTCACTTGACTGTCAGCTCTGCAAACAGGGTCCCTGCAAATTGGTGCAATCCATTGAGGTGCTGATGACGAACAGCTGTCGGTAATGAAGTCGGTTTGGGCAAGGGGGCAGGAGATATTATCAATTCATTGAGACAGATTGGATGTTACCGGGCGCGACACCTTTTAGACCATTTGATGGATGCCAGCTTTGGGTTGCAAGCAGTCCCGGGGCAGACTGTTTGAACATCCAGCGTCCAGCTGGAGGGGGGGGGGTGACAGTGTGCATCGCTTAGCACTGTATCTGTAAACTGGAGCGCAAACGGCACTCTAGGAATAGAGCAGACGCTGCAATTGTGCCAATTTGCACTACAAACTGCCGTATTGTCACTGCAATCACGGTGACGGCCCTGACATTATGTTATAACCACGTGTCAGCAAACAGGGACTTGAGTGGGAACTGACACAAGAGGAAACACTGCAGTGGTGTACACTGCTACATCCACGTACGGTACACGTAGAGTTGTGGTCGAAAGGTTACATACCCTCGGACTGGGAATGTTTAATTACAATATTGAAGATTTTGCAGACTCTGGGCAACCGCTCTTCTTTTCCTGTAGGTGATCTGTCAACAATTCACTTTATTTACACGAACAAGTAAATGAAGAATTAAAGCAGATGTACTGATTGATCAGATCTGGGAAACAAACGATTTTCAGGGAAAAGTCTTCAAACTTCAAATGAGAATTTTCAGTTCAAAGGTAGATTTAGTGAACTAGACGCAACTGACGACTAAAAGATGAGTGTGTGCCTGGAGTCCCAAAATACACATCTTATTGGCTACTTGGCTGCATAGGACTGAGTATAACAGCAGGTGAAACGCGAGTTAAGATTTGATGGTGTGCAAGGTGAATACTGCACAGTGCTATACGTCCAAGTGACAGGAAATCTTTGTTGTCATCTTGTGTGGCTGAGAGGAAACCTGTGAAATATCAGTTTTGTTGAGAAAGCATGTTCTGTCCTCAAAATACAGGAAGTGAAAACCGTGGGATACTGTCCAAAAGGTTGAGTTTTCTTCTTTCTTTTAGACCCTCATCAACCGGAAAAGGGTATTTGTGTTTTTGGCTGAATGGTCCGAGTGACGGGCACTGGCACACATTGTTCCCAATTACAGCAAAAGTCAAATGTCGCTTTTTGCTCAGAATAGTAAAAAATTCACTGATGCATCACTGTCAAGAATAAAGTGCATTAGATGGACTATTTAGAACTTCAATAAGATTGAGTCATACGTCTCTCTGGCTGTTGCTACTGGCAACCAGTTGTTACCAAGCCTCTTCTGACGCGACTTGAGTGACCAGCAAACTCCTTCGTAATCCCACAGATTGCCCAAACCCCGCAGAAACGTATGCACACGCACTCCACGCTCACTGCAAAGAATGTCTTGCGCCTGCTTGAACGGACCCAGAGATGACGTGTTTGGCTCCCTCGGCTTGCCGCATTGCTCAGGCGACGCTAATCTGCATGTATGCCACCTCACGGTCTCGGGTTTGCAGCTGGCTAGGTCTCCGGGGTAAACTCAAATACAGATCAAGTAGGAGTAATGAGATCTGGAGAACGATCCCTCAGCTGAAATTCTCCATCTTCTCTCCGGGCAACCCCTTGTCGTCATTACTGTCTCGATCACCAATGCATCCTATGCAAATCAAATGATTTTTCTCAACTCTGAATAGTACAAAATCCTTGGGGGTGTTTGTTTTTCGATCTTTGGAGTCTAATTATTTTCTTTTTTTTTTAATCAGGATGAAGACCATCACTGACAGCCCAATGTCACCTGTGATGCAACATTCAGTTTGACTTTTGCTGAACAGTTATTTTTGGATAATTTTGTTGACAGCTCGATGAGCTCAGCTCATGCTGGGTCCCGTCCAATTGGCTTCTTGTTCTTCTCATCTTCTTAAAATCTTACAGTGACTTGCCTTCCTGAATAACACCTTGTTTTTCAATCCCCACATCTGCAGGAACGGCTAACAAATAACGTAAATTTCAGTTCAATTGTAATTAGTTTCAAGCCAACCTGCCCACCGTCAAAAAGACAGGTGCGCTGGAGGGAATTAATAGCTACCAAAAAGGTAAGGATGTTATTCTTGTGACTACATGTAAACAATTCAATGCTGCCAGACTTGCGAACTTGTACGAACCATTATTCAACTGAACTGACCCTCACTGGTCTGTGTATCGTGTAAAGGTCTCTCTGTCCTGACCAACGTTTTGTTTGACTTTGTTCTTAGTTGATGAAAATCACGAATAAAAAAAGGGGAAAAGACAGAACATGACAAATCAAATGTAACCAGAACAAATATACCCCCCTAAATAAAAAAATAATCCGTAAGTATCCCACTGCCAAAATGTCTGTGTAAAAAAAATGGAATTAGGTTTTTTGTTCTGAAAATTGTTGAAAAGTGTTAATTTTGCTATGGTGCAAAATTGAAGTTCTCAATTTCAGTTTTCTGAGATTATAAGCCGAGCATGTTTTAAAAATCGCACAAAATGTAGATTTAACTGATTGTAATTTTTTCTTAAACCTGAAAATCGGTTATAAGCTGTAATCAAATAGTTTTGGACCAAATTGCTGAAACTACAAATCTCTTTGTAAGATAATAATCTAAAACATCTTGGCTATAATGCTGCAAACATTTTCTGTTATTCCTTATTTTTCCTCTGTTTTTTTTAAAAACACATTTTGTACATCAAGATATGAATATGTTACATGAGGTGTTGGTTGAAACTGGTTTCAAACTAATAAACCAAACTCTGATGTTACAGTGATTGCTCTAAGTAGGTTGTTTTGACATCTGAAGAACCCCAGCCATCTTGTGTCTTGAAACTTTGGTAGTCAGCAATCCATCTTGACTGTAGTTGTTATTGTTTGTGTTTGGCGAGGTCCTTCCCTGCCTGGAGCTGTGGCTGTTAGCTCCTAGCTTCTTGAGGTTGCCGTTGGCTGAATCCTCCTTCTTATGCTTGGCAATCCTTGGGCTCCTTGGAGGGCTGATACGGGTCTGAATACTGCCATTCCCTGACAGGTGCTTGTTGGTCGGGATCTTGGAGTGGCTGTGTGATGACAGGGAGTTGCCAGGAGAGATGCTGCCCTGGTGGCTGGCCGAGCTCCGCCGGCCCTTGGAGGTTGGGTTCGGGCCTATCTCAGCAACAGGGCTTCTGCCGGAGAGTGAGCTGGACTTCTGGTAGAGGCTGGGCTCCGAGCGGCAGGACTTCAAGGTGGGCATGTTGCTGGGGCGTTTCATCTTGCTCTTGCAGGGGGAGTTGGAGGAGTGGCTGTTGGGTGCAGGCCGACTACGTTGGAATGAAGTTTCAGTATGAGAATCCGAAGCCTTGGCCTGGAGACAGGAATATAAATCAACATTTTTGTGTTTATATTCCGGATGTCAGAATAAGTATTGTTACATGTATGCGTCTAAAACTCACAAGGTTAATGTTTCTTTTTTTCGCTAACTTCAGCGGCTGTCTCCAGTCAATGTCTCCATCACTGCATTCCCAACAGAGAGCTCAGACGTTTAGTAGTGAAAAAACGCAGTCGGAAAGTACCTGACCGCAACCCTAAAACTCAAGGTTAATTTCTGTGGCACCTTAATCAAGGTCACGATGACTACATACATGTATAATTCTGCTCTGCAACATGGCACACAGCTTGCAAGTTTCCAATCATTAACAAAGTGTGTCCAACGAGAAGTCATCTACCTCCCTCATGACATGCAAAACAAAAACTTCAAAATGGGTCACAGCGACAGGGCCCACCCCAACCTGACAGCATTTCAGTTTTGCCTCTGGTAGCAAGTGTCAATAATGGCGAGTGTGGGGTGTGATCCTTTCACACCTGCTCATCTTTTTGACCAGCAGATGAGAGTTGACAACTGGAAAGACTTACAGTTTCATCAGCGTGGCTTTCTTGTATCAACTGGGATTTCAGGGGTGGGGGGAGCAAAACCTCCAGGGACCTGAACGACATGGGTGTCAGACTCACAGGCCCCTATGTGAACTAATTTCAGAAATGGACTGGATGGGACAAAAGAGCAAACTAATATTTATGGCTGTCACATATACATATAGAGTAACTGTTGGCACCATGTTCCACTGCAGCAAAAATCATTCTTCCCTGTCATAAAAACAGTAGACCACAAAAGAGGATAACTTCTCAGCGGAGAGTGCTAGCGAAAGCAATGAAAGTAATGATTCTGTCAACAGCTCACAGGTTTGACTATACAGAAACCAGAGAAAAAAAATTAAAAAGGAGTACAAGTTTGTGTAAATCTATGACTTACAGGATACAAAAGGTATCAGGTCAACAGCTACTGAAACCTTTGGAAATGATGAAATAACACCAATCACAATTTTAGTCACCAGTGTAGTCACATTTCATAAAATGGTATCTTAAATACCGGATATGTACAAATAGTTTCTCAAAAAAAAAAAAAAAAAAAACGACAAAAAAAACCCCAACAGAAATGGCACTGACATATGCTGTTTATTAAAAAATCTGCTGGTTAAATTTGTTGATACATTTTTGGGGTTAACCCCTTAACGACGGGAATTTCTTCCCGAAAGCCGACTCCCAGAATTCCAGCCTCGCTTGGCCACGAAGGCCACCTGCCAAACTGCAAATTCTCGGTTTGTGGCCCGCCGTGCTCTGCACGCTTTGAATTACACGGTGAAAAGGCCGATTGTTCGGTGGCATGTAGCTCTACTCACGCTTCCACATTCCCGTTGCCTCTTTTCAAAGTGGGGACTATTGTGAAGCTGGTGATTATGATGCAAATTCGGTCTTTTCATTTCTGGGCTACACACAAAGGCCAATTACCATATATACAAGAGCCAGGGTCTGCCTTCTTTCACCATGTTCGCTCCAGCGTGGGCGGAGAATAATAGCTGAAAAGTGGGGGTGAGGATCTCAATTTTTACGGCGTTTCTAGCTGCGTCCTGGTGCGAAGGGGTTAACATTTTGTCCTACTTCAGCAAAAAGGTAGACCAATGTACATTTTCATTTAGTTTACAGGTTCCAATATGAAATGCCATTTACTTTAGAATGACAGCATACATGTACCTACTGGGACAGTATAATCATTTCCAGAAATGACAATGTGGAATGGTTTTGACAGGCAAGAAACAGCTGTTGACAAACCAGAGCTACCACATTCAGGGCCGGGACGCAAGAACCTTCACTGGCATGACAGGATGTGACATCCAAAAACCAAAGACTTTCCATTTTCAAACGTGTCCTTTTCTTTCTTGTTTGAAGTGAACCGATACAGCGCATCAAAAACAAAGAACAGCTCGGTTTGCTCTTCCGAACGCAAACAAAAACAAAACTCCTGGAAAAAAAAATTTAAGATTCCTTGTGTAGTCACAACCACCTGCCCCGTGGGGGGAGGGGAGGGTTAGCACTTGCCCCCTCCCCTGGAAAAACGTAAATGTGAAAGAAAGGATTTTTAAAAAACGGAAAAGGGATGAAAATCATCAAGTAGCCTGTAAATACTTCAGAACTGATCCCCTTCAAACAGTTGGTTTGCCAGATTGCCACCTATGAGTACATATCCTCCCCCCCTTTGATAAATCCCATTGTCAAAACCACTTTCAGATGGACTATTCCTTTCCCCCCCCCCACTACATACTCTCAGGGGCCAAAAACCTCATGAGGAAAACAACCGCTTGTCTGAAACCTTGTTCGGAAACACATGATTTTTGGCAATACAGACTGACCACTATTATTTTGCACGGGCCTTGACGTCTGTGTCTCGTTCGAGTGTCATACATATTGAAAGTCTCACTGGCTTAATGCTGAGCATTGAATCTGGATGATTTCAAAAAAGGTTCATAGTACAAGTGTCGAGTGTTAACGAATTAGAGTTAATGAAGTGATGATTCCAAAACTCACAGTTGGGCAAATAATCTCAAATTACATCAAAGATTGTCTCGACCAACTAAATGCCCCTTTGAATTTACAACAATGCACGCATAGGAAGTGGCAAGTGGTCCACTGCTCAATGCCACAGTGTGGTTGACACATCCCTGGATTTGGCAATGACCGTCTGCTACTGCCGATTTCATCATTTCGCTCTAATCACAGAAAACCTGTCCCATTGATTACAGTGTCAACTGAGGAGGACGTGTAATGGACCAAATCAATACAACTCAAGCCTTTTTTCCCTGTCAAGCCTACGCTCGGAAGCCTTCCCTTCCCCGAACAACCTGCTGGTAACTGATTGATACAAATCAATTTAATCCAAATCAATAATAACGCGGAAAACTATTTTTGCGGGGACAGATGCACATTTGGAGCCTGCCACCAGCTCACTGGAATGAACAAAAATTTCCCTCACAATTTTTTTTGCAACCCCAAAAGGTGAACAAGAGTTGTATACATTTGAATACACACTGAAGCCAAAACCAGGGGCCAATTTCATAGAGCTGCTTAAGCACAAAATATGCTTAAGCGCGAAAAAACCTTACTTGATAAATCAGGTAACCAGCCAAAACTCCGTGTGATATACATTGTTTTGAGATTGTATTTAGCTGTTTTTGGTTAGCATGACAATCAGATAGAATTTGAGCTGGTAACCTTTGTTTATTATGTGAAGTTTTTCCCCGCTTAAGCAGACTTTGTGCTTAAGCAGCTCTATGAAATTGACCCCAGTTCCTTTTCTGGCACATCCTTTCACACTGGCAAAAAACAAAAAAGCAGTCAGATACTTGAGGAGCAAAGCATTTCTGCATGCAGTATGCTGTTGAGAATCATGCACTGCCACTTATGGTTGGAGCTGGTTCAGGTTTTCTGCTCCAAACAACTGACACTGCACAAGTCTGTAGCACTGAATGCAGTGGTTCTCTTAACGGCGAAGTTGTTTCGATGACCAAAGAATCCATAAATGCTGTCTGATTCTTCCCACAGAAATTAGTTTGATCTCGCTACAAAGGAACTATCAAACATCATACATGTATTTGAAAGTCCAAAAACAATTCTTCAAGTGTGTACAAATCGGAACAAAAATTGCTTCCGAGCAAGACCAGGGTAATCTTTCAATTCCAGCCACAAACTTAGTTCTTAACTTCATTAACGTGACTTCTGAATGAGTTTGTGTCAATTGTTCCGTGCGCACAATACACCAATGATCAGGTTTACATGTATATATGAAGTGAATGAAACCTTGACCTTTAGTCAAAAGGAACTCGGCCCCCCCTCCCTTCCCCAAACTGTCAAAAACTAGCGCGACAAGCGCAATGCTTCCTGTTACAGCGTCAGTCTCTCTCCAGCCAGTGGTTGGTTCATAATGTGTACAGGCATTGGCATGCTTGTAGGAATCTACGAGTAGGATGTGTTGAGTATTGACAGTGCTGTTTCACTGGAGTGTGTTGCATGCTGACAGCATGAGCAGTGATCTTTTGTACACAAACTTGACCAGCTGAACAGAAGTGCATGGACTGCCGCGGATCCGGGATTAATTTTTTGTAAACAAATGCACATCTGGCTCTTGTGATAGGAGCGATCGATAGCCGTATGAATGCCAACTGCCGAAATCAATGGATTTAAAGACCCGCTGTTCGGCAAGGATTGGAGATAGCTGTCCCAAAAGGGCAAGGTACCAGGTAAGTGTGACACACTGTTTTGTGTTCGTTCTGTTATCAAGGGAACTTTGGCAATCTCTGATGATTGGATGAGGCTTGACAAATTGAAACTACTGTTTCCTTGACAACAAATGCTTGACAATAATGTCATGAATTACTCAGGAAAACACAAATTCATGTAATGGTGATACAAATACAACCTTGAGTAAAAATCAGATTGAAGTTGAAATTGAAATTAAAACTGACAGAGAAACAGATCTGGACAAAAAGTTCCCCGCAACAAATGTTTGATTACTCAGTCTCGCAGAGGCAGATCACTCAGATTTTCATCGGAATTGGCACAGGATCTAGAAAAACTATCCACTGAAGTAAAGTGTGCTTGTTTCTAAACAGAAAAGGGGGACATGTTTTGAAAAAAGTATTATACATTTAATTTGGAGACATGCTTTTTTTTTCTGATTTTTTTTAAAGATTAAAAACTCCCCGCTGAAATGCTCAAAGGGATGAGCTTCAAGGCTGAAAGAAATTGTCCTCCTGAAAAGTCATGGGAATAATAAGGCATTTGGGCTTTCATTCAGCTATGCCCCATGTTGTTTTCAAAAGAACTGCCTATCTTATCTTGCTGTTAAACAAACCCAAGCCAGGGGCTGTGAGATTACTATGTCGCACTGGTCAACAAATAATTGCCACTGTGACAAGTAATAATCTCTGGCATCGACAACCTGCCACGCCCACTCCTACGCACAATCGGCAGAGAACAAGATAAGGACATTGCCAGCTTGGCGTTTAAAAACATTATACTGTATTGATGGGAACGAGAGGAGTAAAGAAGACTTCCAGTCTGAGCTCGACAAATAGATCTGTCGGGGAGGGTGTATCGGACAGTGCTGCACTCGAGTTCTAACCGGCTCCCGGCTCGAGAGCCCCCACTAAGCCCACGCAGCGTCGGGGATCAATGTTGCCTTTGCCGTAGACCGGATGGGGGAAAAAATTGACCGTGCTTGACGTGGTGCCGGTCAGTCAATTTGTTGCTGATCAATGGATCACGGAAGGGAGGCTGTCGAGGAGGGGGGGGGGAGTAGTGGGAGTGGGAGCTCAGACAGGACGGCAAATCTGAGGATAATCACTGACTGCACGTCATCGTTTTGCTGATGTTAGTGTTTACCTACAAGTGATCAATCGCGCCCGGGGTACCATTCTGACAGTACAAGCTGTACAGATGCAGGAAGCTCATGGGGCTGACATTTTCACCTCCCACTGCTTCCTTGGAAGTTAATCTCATGAGATCTACACGTGTATAACATACTTCACTTAAAAATGACAGACTTGAAAACGAATCCTTTAGAGAGAAACCTTGTCGTATAATGTTGTTGCAGGCATTTTGAATTCTCATGTTGAAAGCAACCAGTGGTCAATGTGTCAAATCGAATAAACTGATAGTCACAAGTATGAATTGGTAAATAAAACTTCCAAGCAAACCAGTCTCTTTCAGAAAATAAACGTGTCCGAGCCAATCTGCTTGAATTTAAAACGATCGATTGTCGAATATTTGAATATTATTTTTTGAATTTGAATATTTGAATGCAAAATTCATGAAAAGGAAGGGAAAATTTTCTTTTGTTGCTAATGAAAAAAATTGCACTATGGAAGCTTGTTTCAAGCAGCTGTTCAAATGAAAAGTCTAAGAAATCCTGCAATGATTTAAAAAGTAAATTATTAATTAAACAATTTAAAAGCAGTAGAAACTTTCAACGGGGTAAGAAGTCTTGTTCATCATTTAAATCTTGCTAAATCGTGGCTGGAGATACTCCTAGATTTGAGAAGCTATTATATTGATCATAATGTACATGTATAACTGTGTTACACTGCAACTGATTTTGTATATGGTTTGTTCATCAACAATCTGCCGTTTGGTGCGACCGAATATTTGGATATTCGATTAAATCGAAGGTCGAATATTTGAACAGTGAATTATTCGAATTGACTCAGCCCTACTAAAAGCAAACAAACGGAGCACACTGCCATTAACGACCTGTTCTGATCCGATGAAATTAGTCTTCATAACAAGCCCACACCAGAAACTGGGTGATTCTGACTAATTTGACGCTGTGCACAACGGAGGATCTTTGATTCTGCAAGCGACACCAGCACGCAGGTCGATCTCTCATTGAACATTTATGAGACCCTGCGCTGCATTACTCCAGATCATTGCACTGGAGCGGTGGAAAACGACACACCTGCGGTCAACAGTTTGGTCTTTCAGCCACGCCTGCGATAAGAAATTCCTTCCGCCAAACGAGGCGCTGCATGTTTTGTTGAAAATCGCTCACACCGAGTTCAGACGGGCACAGCAGAGCCACGCTGAATCAAATCATTCCTGGGGATTTGACTTTCATCAACACGGCCTTGGTTTTCGTTCATCTCAGGTCCAGATATGTTAACGAAATTTTACCAAAAATGCAGCTATTATTTAACCAACATCGCTTAGGTGTTGGTTTTGCTTAGTGGCTTTCACATTCATTTCATGTCTGCATGTTAGCAAAAAATTACCAAACATGCAGATCCTGTTTCTGTCATCAGCAAGGGGAACTGTTTATCATTTAGGCCAGTCCCAACCTGCTGAGATACGATTCCCAGCAGACGGGATTACAAGCAGGCTTAGCTCCGGCTTCCGCAATGGCTAACTTAACCCTTTGATGCTGAACAGCCGCCCACAGCTACTTTCCAGTTTGCTGCTTTTTATCACTGCAAACACTTGTCAGAGAATGGCTTAAAAAAAACAAAACGTCAGAGCTTGTTGAATCCTAACACCGGACACTTGAGGGGGGCCAAGTCCCCCTGTCAAACCGTCCTACATATGGACTGAGGATGCCGGCAATTATTCTGAGCGAGAAGTGACCTTTATTTTGTCTATGCAGCCACCTTTTAAGGAGTTGAAGTGGGTGGGTTTTCTTGGCAGGGGAATGTGCATCCCTTGAGGAACAGTGCAACCAATCATGTTGAACTGGCACCATGACGGGAGCAAAACTAAATTCAGCCACATTGGAGACGATCTGCCAAACACTGACTTGGATTTGCTTGTTTTTATTCTCTCAAATCGCCTTTATTACAAACAAGTGCCCCTACGGGGAGTGTATGCAGTCGATCTTGTCACTAAAAAACCTGACTAATCGAAAATACAAATGTTGGCATAAAGCTGTACTAGAATAGTATAGCTTTAGAATATTGGTGATTTGAAACCTAGCTTTTGAACAAGCACTTTGTAAGGAACATCCTCTTTGATTTTAGCTGGCTGTTTGAGGACCGTGAAGTCATCTTGAGAGTCCCCTAAGACCAACCTATAGATGGGGCCCCCGAGACCAACTAATAATGACAGCTGTGGAAATAAGCCTCCATAGTGGAGCCGTGACACAATGCAAAAGATATCAGAAAAAATCATACAGTTTCCTCGCCTCGGGCAGTGTTTAAATTAATCCAATTGATTTGGGACGGCGGGCTGTTGTGCGTGATCCCGGCTCAGCGGACAAAAGCCCCGCGCCAGGTTAGAAATGCGCATATAAAATGAAGCAGCCGGTGGGAATTTTCAAGGGCAGAACTGTTTAAAAAAAAAAATCCTTGCTGCGGGGGGGGGGTGGACGAGAGGGAATTACGTCAAACAAGTTCTGATTCTGAAAAACTGGCCGGCTGCTTTTGGGCTCATCAGTGCAACGTCATCAACCAATTGTGTAAGCCGACCCACCAAACATGCACGACTCTCCCACCGGCCAAAGACTGTGCTGGTAGAAACTCATTTGCATAATCAATGAATAATTCACAAGCAGCTGACTTCCACTACCACACACTCGTGATAAAGAGTGTTTCATCTGGTATTAAAGGGAAAATCCAATTAATGCTGTAAATGAGGAGTTAAATAGAAAAATTTCACCAAAAAAAAAAAAAAGAAACACAAACAGGGAACGAAAGGTCAATGTTTTGGTAAAAAAAAAATCAATGTTCCCCAGAGAACAGTGTCAGAGTTTACAAAAAACAAAAAAAAAATCTCTGCACTTCTCCCACCATGAACTCCTGTCTATCTCGATTAAATGCAGCAAGCATAGAACCGTCTCTCAGTGAGGGGTAATTGAACACAAATACCCCCTCAATGATACAATGGAAGGCTCTGCATCACTGAGGGACACACGAACAGTTGATGAGAAATAGAGAGAGAGACACTGGAGTAGGATTGGGAAGGCCAAAGCCAAGTAGTGCAGTGTTTTAGAAGCACGAGGGGGGAAAAATATAATGTCAGGCTGGTGTGTGTACATTAAGTTGTCGGGTCTCGGCCAAGTTCGACAGCATCACTTCCGACATCGTCTTAAATCGGCTCTTGGGGGTCGTCGTCTGTTCGGCGGTGCTAAAGTTAGACGTGGGATCACTGAGTAATAGCCTGACATCACCTGCTTGGTCCAGGTCGAGGGTTCTCTTTTTTTCTGACATCAACTTGAACGGTGGAGGCAAAATCTCACCAATGGATTAACCCTGGCTCCAACTGTCTCAGGTAAGAACAGTATGTAGTATTCATTTCTACTTCCCGTGTGCTGCCTACAAAGATTTCTTTCAGAGTCACCATGGATGAGCATGTGGACGGGCATACAGCATTACAGAATGCTAGGTTTTAATTGCTAGAAAGACAGACACTATGCGGGACAGACAGCGCCAGAGTTGAGCTCAGTTTTAGCAAAAAAGTTGTACTGGCCTTCAGTGCACTTAGCAGGGGGACGACCAGTGCACACAATTTTTTTCCGCTGCCATTTTGTGCATTTTTAGCACATTGTGCCTTTAAAAGCATACTTTGTGCTCAGCTTAAATTGCCTGTGCAAATTAAATAAACAAACGGCTCCTGAGCAAAAAGAAACAGTCAGCAACCGATGTTTCGACTGGGCCCAATATCATATGGTTCGACAGAAAAATACTCAGCTTCAACTAGAGGCGCGCGCATTCCTGATTTGTAAATCCGAATCACTATGAATAGCAATTCTCGAATAAATTGAAATTGTGTCTTGGCGGCCCCGGGTTGATTCTGCTACATGGTGTTTGATGAAAGATCACCAAGATCGAAATGTGCCCCAACAAATTTGGACCTGTTTGAAATTGTCGAGTTGATTCCGAAACAAATTTCAAGATTTGGTTTTTATATTTTATTTTATTGTTCTCATTAAATTCATAAGATAATATCATTCTGGATGATTCTGGAGTTATTTGTATCTATTATTCTCGGCTTAATCACAACAATTTGGTTTTATTTTGCACTCAATCACTTTCATTTGGCTTGATTCGGTCTGATTCGGCTTCCAATTTGTACCCAGTTCTGGATTATTTTCCCTGTTTCATCTTAAGTTCTGCTAACACGCAGTGAATTGGGGCTTATGATTTCTCCCAATGCCATCAAGAATTTTCATGCGGAATAAAACTAATGGGGGCATTCCTGACAATAATTTGGGAACGAGTGAACCTGAATTAGCAACTTCCCAAGCAACGCAAAAAATCCATAAGAACCGGTTGCCGGCAATAGACAAGTGATGGAGTTTTCGCTGGCAACTTGTTTCTGCTAAGCAAAATGATTTAATGGGTTGAGGAAATTCATTTCCTTCCTTAATTTGCAGAGATATTGGAAAAAACTTTTGCTAAAGTCCATCTGATCAAAACCCTTAAACTAGAAAAAAATCGAAGGAGCGACTGTGCACAAAATCATGGAATTTCATTGATGAGGAAAAATTTCAAATTTAAACAAAATGTGTGTTTATTTAAATTTATTTACAGGGAAACTTGGAAGTACAGGGATGTTCTAAAAATGATGGGGAATATAGAAAAATACTTCGCTCAAGAGAGGGACTTACATGTCCCAGATATCATTGTTGGAGGAATTCAAGACTGATGGGGGGACTAATTAATGTAAATTGTGTTCAATCACTGGTCTAATTGGTTGGCACATGAGATCAACATTACCCCCAACACACAATCCGTTCCATGAACTTTTTTTCACAGTTGGACAGATTCAGGGCTGTTCGGGGACTTATTAATGTAAATTGTGTTCAACTACTGATGGTCTAATTGGTTGACACCCAACATCAACATTTACAGTTCCTATCAGTCTTAAGAATCCAGTCTTCTGCAGCAAAACACTGAATACCAAGTAATTCATGGATGAAGTACCTTTTGTTGGCTTACTAAGTAAAGTTTACTCTAGTTCCATCAGTGCACGGACCTTTTGTTTAAATAATCTGTGATGCATCAAAACAAAGGGCTGAGTTTGCTCTTTGTGATGCAAACTGAAATTTATTAGGGAAAACAAGACCCTTCAGGCTCATTTTGTTGGTCAAAAATGTGTCTAACGCACTGTGGACTGTTTATACATTCAAAGAGACTCAGTGAAAGACAGGCCAAGCGGCCAAGATCTTGACTGGTGAGCACGGCAGCGATTTCCAATCCACATTCCGTGCAGTCGTGGATATTATTATCCAGGCCAGCTACGATAAACACACACCATGGGGTAAACCGGAGCCAGGCTGGACCCCGACCAATTGAATTAGGCAGCACAACTTGATCGGTCCGAGAGCCAACCGGGGCCAGTTGACTCTATCTCCCCGAATGGATTGACGACTTATTACAAAGTCCATCTCTGAGCACTCGGTTTTCAGGGAATGACACCTTGATACATGCTTCAGCTCTTGTGAATGAAATCATCTCCGGTCACGAGAAACTGGGTTTTTCTTTAAAAAAAAAAAGAAGGAGCTGTTTTGCGCACAGCTGTGCTTTACATTTCAGTTTTTGATTGTGAAATGAAATTTATAGGAATGGTCTTGAAGTTATTCACCCCCATTAATGTCAATACACAAAAAGACTCATCCACAATGACAATTAAAGAGGTAGACTTATAGTCCACCATTCAACGATCACATATAAATGACATCATAAAAAAAAGTTCACTGATCCTGTCGACTCCCACAACATTTCTGCTTAAAAAACTTGCCCAAATCCTGCAGTCTCCCCTGTCTACAAAATCAGTGGTGATTTTTAGGGATCTTTAATTACAGTATCAGCTCTTGCTGAAGACATCATCTCCAACAATGGCTGGGCTCTTGCCTGTCTCCCTCAGTCCAGTACAAATCTGTCCAAATCCAAGTGGATGTTATGAGACTGGGTGGGAAGGTACCAGTAATCAGTCTACCAAAATCAAAATATGACAAACTCCAATTCAAAATTTGCCAATCCAAAATTGTTGATACTGTCTATCTTGTAAGCTCCTTTTTGTCAGTCTGGGGGAAAAGGGTATTAAACTTTGAAAAGTTAAATCAAATTAATAGATAAAGTAATTATCTGACAATTTTTGCATTGGGACCTTTCAAAAATACGCTGTGAACAAAAAATTCCAACGCCGCGCAGCCAGCAACCCCATGTCAGATTCTCTGTACCTGAAGGAAACATGCAGCCCCATGCTGAGAAGGAGCGACTCAGATTTAAAGTCCTAAATCCTTCAACACCGCAAAACTGTCGTCAATTTCGGCAGGTTCACTGTGTACTCAATTCACAACTTACACGTACTTAGTCACATTCCTCGATCAATCGGACATTTTTCTCTCTAATTACAGAGAGCTTGCTGAGAAGTTTTGAAAATTGCAGTTTCTGGGGAATACTGAAGCCACCTCAACACTGTTTTTGCAGTGAATGAGAATTACCAGAGCATGAAGGAGGCTGTACATTTGGTGAGGTCAGGAGAAATACTGGGAATGTAAACCGGCCTGTCACTTCTCACAAAATGTTAGACAATACCATTGCCTGAAGGTGTAACTCTATCAACCGAGGGATAAAATGTTCCTCAAATCTGCACAAAGTTCACGAGAAAAAAAAAAAAACTTGTGTAGTTCGTGCTTGAGTTTCGGAATTTTCTCCACATATTCAGGTCTCAAAAGATAATATTCCATTTTTAGGGTTGCTGTTGATTCTCACTTCTGATCTCCCGGGGAAAGGGATTAAGGTCCCTCAAATCCACATGAACTCGATAACGAGAAAAGCAGGTTTGGGTACACTCGACACCACGCTGCCTCGACCTGCCTGTACCATATACCACGAGCGTGAGTGTTGTTCTCATAAATTGGCAGGCCTTGGTGATGGATACATTAAAAATAAAAATGAACGCAAGTGACCACTGTCCAATGAAAATCTGTAAGTGGTCAATTCCCTGCTGCACTGTGATGAACCTGTCGGTGCGCTTTCCCAGCACATTTTATTGGAGTGTTTCTAAGGATGGAACCTGGGGAAAGGGGAAGCACAACTGCCCCATTAAGTTTCTGGTGAATCATCTAAAATCAGGAGAAAGATTCTGCTAGGATCAAAACGTTAGGCCCCTCCATATTTTATGACCACTAAAGCACATCAGAATTGACTCTTCCAGGGGCAGAAGTAATCCTTTCTCTGTGGTTATACAGAATGCCACCAGACTACTATGGTGTTATAGTGTGTACAAGTACATGTAGGTGCAGGTAGCAGTGGTAAATAACCTGTGGGTACCTGTTTGGACCCCTCCCCCCAGCTAATGAACTGTGTTGGGAGATTAAAAGGCCAACGCCCGGTTTCAGAGTGTGTACTTCCCATTTTTATAATCAGCCATTTGTATTAGAAATTTAGAAATGAATGATGGCCTAAGTTTTCTCTGATTTGCTAAAACTGGAGTCAGCCTTTCAAGGTACGTATTCGGTATCCCGAAATATTTGAAACACTCTTAGCCAAGTCAGGAATCTTATTAATTTTGTACAGTGCATGATCTCTTTAAAGGGAAATACAGAGCGCTGAAGCCAGGAGTGTACATGCACATGTTTGTGTGGAAGCTACTGCCAACCAAGCAGGGCATGGTTTGCATGGTTGTGTGCCGTGGCGCTGAGCTTGAGCTGCTGCGTACATGTACATGTATGTAATTCGACCGATCTGTCCTGGAATGATAATTGTAGCATTCATGCTGGGACAGGCATCTTGCAAAATGCAGATCTGTATAGTACAATGTATATTTATGATTACGCTGAGCCAATTTGACATGTTCAAGCAAGCCAATATTGGAATGGAAGTTTCCAGGAGGTCATGACGGCGTACTGGAAAAACTGGTTGCTACTGGGTGGAGGATATTTTTGGTGACTAAAAAAAAAATGGAAGTTACAACATTTTCTTGAAGATGAAGAGAGCACATTGATCAAAATGTCAAGCTCAAACAATCACTTAAAAACTTCTTTCGGAATGAGAATTTTTCCAGCACAGCGATACATCAAACCCTGCTAGTTTACACCTTCACCACCAACAATATGTACAAACATGCACAATGTAAAAATATCTCATTTCTATCGGCAGAGACAACCGCTTGATACAAATAGCTACTTCTCAAAGGTTCCATTTAAAGGTGACATCAAAATCCCCTCTACCTAACACTGTTTTGTTTCTCCTTATCTTTCTAATTCTTTTCATTCTCCAATTTGCTCCGAAGGTTCTCTGATTTTTCATAAATGATCAAGT